TGACAAAAGCAATTCATCTAGAGATTGTCAATTACTTAACCACAGAAGCATTCATTGCTTGTCTGAAGAGGTTCTTTGCCCGACGAGATAAACCAGAAAAAATATTTAGTGACAATGCAAAAAACTTTGTCAGTGCAAATACAGAAATTTAAAAATTAATGAGTATTTTCTAAAGCAGAATGGAACTTTAGCTAATTTTCTAGCCGAGGAAGGTGTACAATGGAAGTTTATACCCCCAAAAGCACCAAATTTTAATGGTCTGTCTGAAGCAGGAGTAAAATCTTTTAAATTTCATTTTAAACGAACAGTAGGAAATTTAGTATTAACCTACGAAGAAATTTTGACAGTAACAGTTCAAGTAGAGGGAATCTTAAATTCTCGCCCTTCTTACACCGTTAACTTCTAATATTGATGATTTAAATGTTTTGACCCCTGGTCATTTCCTTATAGGTCCGACCGATCAATTCAATAATTGAACCCAATTTAACAGAAGTAGATAACAACAGACTTAGTTTATGGCAAAAAACTACAAAAATGGTACAAAATATATGGAAGAACTGGACTAATAATTACTTGAGCACTTTGATTCAAAGAAATAAATGGATGATTGCTAAACAAAATATTAAAATAGGGGATATGGTAGTGATCAAGGAAGAAAATCTTCCTACCTGTAAATGGTTGTTAGGGAGAATTGTAGATGTGTTTTATGGGAAGGACAACCTTGTGCGAGTTGTCTCTGTCAAAACCAAAAATGGTATTTATAAACGAGCAGTTACTAAAATTGCTGTACTGCCCAATTGAGAAATAATGTACGAATTTTTATGTTTATTTGAAGGTTTGAATTGTAATCATCATATTTGTTCTTTTACATTGTAATTACATGTATTATAATTTGTGCATTAATTTACATTGTATCATTTTGTATTGTATGAACATTTATTACTTTTTTGAATTTACTTATTGTATTGAAATTAATATTTCAACGCCGGGCGGGATGTTCGGTGTCTGAAAGAGTATTGCTTGGCAGCATTGTTTTACGCCAAGCAGAGTTTGGCTTTAGTGTAACCCTAAAGTTATTTCGTTTTTGCTGTATTAGTATGAATGATTTCTGACTTGATGTAAGAGCATATGGTTGCTCGCTCTTTAGCTAAGTTACATAGGTAACTATAAGCACATGCGTGTGCTAGTATTCAATAATGTTGTTTTTGTTAAAATAAAATTGTTATTGTTAATATTACAGTCCACTTACTGAAGTTAAGTATCATTAAATAAGTTCGAGCTATCTTCGGCAAGAACACAGTGCATTAAAAACACCTTCTCGTCTTAGGAAATTATAAGAATTATGTTATTATTCCTTTCTTTCCATTCATGAGTTATACAACTGTAGATAAATTCAACTTCTAGGTCATTTCCACTTTCGTGAATAAAATTCACACACTTTTATGCTTAAGGACCCCATTCCGGATATGAACTCGAATGAGGTATATACAGGATTTCTTGACAATGGTGTTTAATTTACATTGATCAAACTAAGGAACCCTTAAAATTTCACCGTAAGGAATATGAGGCATGTGTTAGGAAAAAGGAAACGCTTATATACTCTGTTGCCAACACTGTTGGTAAGAAAATAACATTTTCCAATTTCCTGCAACCAAAATTATTAGAAAAACATCTTCCGTTGGCGAATTAGATTTTGTAGAGGTACTTCACATTCATAAAAATCTTAAACTTCTAGATCACGATCACAATTCTAATCTGTTTTTATCTTCAGCTTTTAAGAAAATTATTTCATATTTGTTTTCATTTTTGCATCAGTGGATGGCGCCAATAGCTTCTTCATTTGCAGGAGTGCAAATGAAGAAGAAGGTTCTGTGTTTAAACCTTCGAAAATAGTCCTCCAGACTTATGAATATTATGATAATTCTTGTTGCTTTAACTCCTCCAATAATCTTATCTCATTATTGCATTAACTTATTTCTGCTTTCTGATGGAAGCAGATGAAACAATAGCTGTATGGGAAAGGTTTCTGACATATTCAGAAACATGGTAGTTGAATTAAATAAATCCTACAGAACAGCGTGGTTCCATGGTTATCTGAAAGACATCGGTACATTCAGATACCCCATTTAATGCCCTAGATTCTTCCTTCAGGAGTTATTAAACTATTGTATTCTATATAAATAAGAACGACAATAATATTCTCAGGTTTTTTTGACTACAGTACTACGGTAGGCAATAAGAAAATGGAAAAACTGAAAAATTTTATAAATATCCTGTTTAGTGGTTACTATGGATACCTTAAAATGCCATAAAATACAGGGATATGCTTAAAAGTACATTTATCTTTGCTTGAAATACAATAATATTCCAAACAAATAAATATCAGTAAACAGCGTCATTTCCCAATAGAAATGCATTTCCAGCGTGTGTTTTTCTTCTACTTGTGAAGTTTATGATCACGTGGGATTTTCTCAACTTTTAAAACATGTTTTATGTTATCAGCTTACTTCTGGTAGATTCTTTTTAAACTTTCTATTTCATTTCCCTATTTTTTTTTTTTTTTTTTTTTTTAAAGTTTTTTTAGTTTTTTTTCTTCTAAGCAGTTTCCTTGCGTTTTAAACATTTGTAGCGTTTAGAGTTTCAGTATTCCTAGATTTATTCTGGTTAATTACACCTTTGTTTTGCAAAATGTTCTTTAAAGAGGAATATTCCCATAATTCAAAGTTTTAAGTATGTAAGGTCTTAAAATACGTATACCGTGCAGGCAAATATAGTTTCATTAAAGAGTATCTACAAGAAAAAAAAAGACAGATAAAGAGAAAGGGGAAAAAGAAAAAGGAAAATGTTAGCTATAACATCATAACAAAGAAATAATTGCTATGCAATATAAATGAGTTTCGAAGTGGTATACCTAAAAATCCTGCATATGGGCGATTGCTTTCTCACAAGCGTGCAGATTATTTATTGGAAGACATGGAAATGTGGACCGGTAGGGTTGCTGACTGCTTCGTTTGGTGCTATTTTAAGAATAAAATTACACCTATGATATTTCAAAAACCGACGATTCCAAATCTGTCACGGATATATTCGATACAATTTCAACTGAGTCGAGCACCCAATATATTTTCGAATGTATTACTTACCGCCTCCAAGCAGCACACCTTGATCTCCCATTAAAATTGCAGAATCATCAGTTTGAAATCATGCAAAAGTGCTTTGTCATATGAGCTTTTGAAATCTCTTAATTTTAGTTCCATCTGTTGTGGATTTCAGTTTTCTAATTATAATCTACTACATTTTTAGTTATATCCATCTATATACGATATAAGTGATTCTGCACTAACATGTACACTGCGAGGAAAAAAAAAAAAAAAAAAAGAAGAGGAGACAGTTCTTTACCTTTCGTTCTACTGGGGGGTCGATTGACGAAATTCAAATTGCGTTTCTCGAAAGTGCAATTTAGGATATGTACTAGATTTATATTGTTAATGTACTAGATTATATGTACTAGATTTATATTGTATATAGTGCAATTTAGGATATGTACTAGATTACATTGTTCTGACATAGGTATTTTGACACAAAATCGGAATTTTTCTGAATTAACGTACCAATTTCTTTTCCATATTTCGATTCTACTACTCAACTTATGCCAAAGGAATCTATGAAATTTAGGAAATTTATGTGAATTTAATTTTAAAATTCCAAATAAAATTCACCCATTTTTTATGATTTATTTTTAAAATTTGCATTTTAAATAATTTTATAAATTTTTAGAAAAATATTTTTAATAATAACTTATAAAAGTTTCACCATGAGCTTAAAGAATATGTATTTCTAACTATACCTGAAAAAATTAGAGTTTTTTTATTCAAAATTTCCTAAGATATACGTCAATTTATATATTAGCGCGTTTTGAAATTTGGCATATTTGTTATAAGCGATAATAACGCCAAATGTGCTTTGCGCACTTTGTTAAAATTATTTGAAATTATGAATGAAGACTTTTATTCCGTTCGTATACAATGAAAAAAAGGAAAGGAAAATAAGTTACTATAAATTAAGATTTTAGGTTAGGTTAGGTTATTTAATTACGGCAAAGCCTCGAGGGCTATCTGTCTAAGGAGAGAGACGCCTTCGGGGAGGATGTTCTAAGGGAAACTGGCTCGTATATACGTTACACATGGGGAAAACCACGAAAACACCCATGCAGCCAGCCCGTTCGCATGGGTTCGGACCGAACTACCAGTGTTCAGCGACTTTACCGCTCGGCCGCTGGTGGGCCCTATAAATTACGAAGTTCGCCAAGTGAAGCATAGCGCGCAAAGAGATAAAAACTCGCCAAATCGTTTAAAAGTACTCGCTCAGATTTGCGTCACAAATGAAGAAAAATATGAAAGCTTTGCGAAATCAGTCTGTTGAACCAGACGAGTTCGACATAATCGTAACTGATTGATATTAAATAATAGTAATCAACTTCTTCGGAAGTAGTTAGTAATGACAATATTTAGTCAAATTAAGTCTCTAAGTACGATCCATGACTATAAATTATTCAAGACTATTGTCGATTTCTACTATGATTAATGGAAGTTTCGCTGATTTATTCAACTACACGGTGATGTTGCGATATATGATAAGTACTAAATTTTCCAAACAAGTGTTTAAAACGAAGCTCTGAAACGAAAACGATCTAATACAAAATGTACATTAGTTTAGTTTACCAAAGAAAAAGATTAAACGTTAATTACTCAGCATTATTCGTGCCTTAGTTCTGGAATGAGTTCATCTCTCCTCCGCGAGACGACATTACAATTACATTGAGTTGTTATACATGCGCATGTGTCTGGAAAGGATGTCTGGATCATAATATCTCCTTCCCTGCCACGTAAGCGATCCGGAAAATGAGTAGATAGTGAGCGAAATTAAATCTCTCACCTCACTTGTTGCAGGAGCCCGACCGGGAATCCCATTTCAGAGATGTTTAGTGATTAACTATCCTGCCTCTTGTTAATTGTTTCAGAACTCTCACGCAGTTTTCATAGATAAAGCGGTTACAGTTATATACTTCATTCAGGCATTTTGTTTCTGGCTACTTTGAAATCGTCTTCATGAAGGAAGTTTGATCGTGTGTGAGTATCAATGTTTCTTTCTCATTTCGTTTATATTCAGTGTTAGGATATTTTGTTTAAAACTTACTAAATACAGCGAATAAAATAAATATACCTTAGTTGCTACTTTCGTACGGATCTCAATAAATTTTTGATTAAATTCACTTTATTTTCCGTATATCGTTTAAAGGTGGAAGACTGCGAATATTTAAATCATACCCGAAACCCAAATTTTGAGCAGGGAAGTTTAATGAAGTGCTTATAATGAAGTCACTGAAGAACTGCTCACACTGTTATGAGGTTTTGGAAGCTGGTAGATGGTGATATAAATCACGAGGAGCCTAGGTTTGCTGATTTGTATGTCCTTTTGTTCGCATATAAATTAACAAAATATTCCATCCCACTTACTTTTGTATAATGTGCAATACTGTTTGTCTCTCTAGCTCCCCCCCCCTTTATAGGTATGTTTCTCTTACAATTTGATCTTTAATCTCTTTCAAGCTTTAAGGCAACCTTTTGCAATTCTAGCACTATTTTAACAGGCAAAGTAAGAAAAAATAGTAGTATTAAAATTACTGAAAACGTTTACCTCAGTCTCAAACATAATGATAAGCTTGGCAGTTAGACCACCTTCACAACTGTCTTTAGACCGAACTGTAGATATTTCTAGACTCGAGCAGAAACTTTTGGAAACAATGAGAATTATTATAAACTTATCTGTGAACTTCAAAATTGCAACGACATGGAATATAACAAGCCTCTTAAAGCTCACTTTTAGGACTCCACATTTGTTTACATCTGAAACTTAGCAGAATAGTGAATTAAATCAGTTTTTGCAACTTTAGTGTCTTCTTGCCAAGTGGTATTAAAAGTAAACATTCCGTTTTGTGTACTGAAAAATGCGTCTTCTTGGCCGCTGGCCAAATTGCTTGTTTTTGTGTAGAAACTCTAATATTTGAACTTTTCCCCAAAACCTCCTTCAGCTGTATCTGAATAATATATGATTATATTAATTTATTCAATGTCCTGTGTTTTCTTGTTGTTTGTTTTTGTTTTGTTTTAAATTATGTTTAATATTTTATAATTAATCCAGGACTCTTTAATGTATTCCACAATTGTAATGCATTTGTTCATCTTTACATCTATACTTGAGTCTATACTATATCCTCAATATATCTGTATGCCTAACATATACCATAATAGTGAAAAGTGTTCCCCTTAGTATCAGCAGTCCCCACCATGCGCCTTCTTTCCATGTTCTGATCCTTCTTTCGGTGTTCCTCGATTAGCGTGGCTAATTCCCAGAGGACACATCATTAAGCTCTAAACATAATCAATTCCCGGAGGACACAGTACTAAGCTCTTTATTTATATTTATTGATGTATTTATTTTTAATTCCATCGACGGGATACAACAGGCTGAAAAGCACCTAACCTAGTAGGCCAGCTGTTCTGTCGATGGCAAAAAGAAAGTGTATGGTTATTTTTTAATTTTGATGACCAGAAATTCAATCTGTTGATAACCAAATTAAATTTTTTAATATACTTAAATTTTCATAGAAATTTTAGAAGTTATATTCGCATAAATTACATATTTCCCGGAAAAAAGCGTCTGTCCAGAAGCTGGCTAAGGGAACGAAAGATAGACAATACTTCTGGACTTCTAAGCCAAGTAATTTATTGAAGTAACTTGCTTAGATGTAGCTAATTGTAAACGCGGTTTTTTCCTTTAGAATGCCACTCAGGGAGCCATCCAACCTCAGAGACAATATCTGTTCTGTGAATTGCCATAATGAACTCATCCGATTCATATGGAAATAAACGTGGATGAATATCTACCCCCAAGTCCCAAGAAAGGTATTCAATATCCAGCATCAGAGTGCAAAAAATAGACACCTCTAATATATTACGATAAAAGTGGTTACAGCATGAAAATACAATACATAAAATTTAAATTCCTATATTGAATACTCAAGATCTGATTCCTTTTAAATACTTGAAATGCACACGAAAATCGAATACATATTAATATGTATTCAAAGAGTAATGTATCAAGTCAGACGTTTTCTATTTTTCCTTCTCAAACAAAGGCATTCCAAAGAAATTTCAAAGAATTTCTATGTCACCGCTGTGGACCAAAGAATCTTAATATGTCTTTTTACGTCACGCAGACGGTTCGGAGATTCGCAATCCACTCAACAAATTCCATTTCTCGATTTTCCTGGGTCTACCTTTTTATCCTCCGACTTTATTCTTTTGACATTCTATATATATGATTACGTTTCTGGCTCTTCAACCATAGCTGACCATTTCTTTAACATTCTTATTTATAAAATATTTCATCGCTACGTCGTAGATGAATAAATTACCACTCAAATAATCTAACAAAGTCACATTGTGTTATCTTAACGTAAATTAAACAAACCCAGTCTTAAGGCGTTGTACTCTGATACTATAAAAACAAAAAACAATTAGTTTTTTTAACTATTTTAATAAACATATATTACATATGTATACTTTTTACGGTAGTTAATGTATTTGCGTTTAAGATCGATCATCGCAATCGTCTTTACTTAATAACAGCAAATAATATTAGTTTGTCACCTTTCGTTCCCTTTAAGTACGAAGCTATTACGAGATGAAAAATTTCCTAATGCTGTTATGTTTTTGTGAAAAACTTATATGGTACAGATTTCAGTCACACTATATATTAGCGCATTAAAATAAACTTATAAAAAACCTTAAGTTACGTAGCGCATTTGGAAAGAACGCTCTGGCCATTACAGAAAACGGAAACAGTCTTAATAGCAATAATAATTAATAACTATTAGCCAAACGTACAACTCGTATACATGTCTGAACAGGTAATAATCACGCGTCACCAGATGAAACGCGGTAAAAATTCGAGCGCCGTTTCACGGCGAAGAGGATAAAAATTGGCCCCGGCGTGAACGTGTTAAAAGGAACACTAGATCAACTGCATTTAAATTAAAGCAAATGCGATTTAGTAAAACCTTCGATGTTCACTTTAGAATCACGGCTTCGAATGTCTACAGAATGAGAAAACTTCTAATTCCGAAAATTCATTCGCATCATAAGTACATTCATATCCCAAATTATGCCCCGTTTTTTCGAAAACATTCTTCTGCATACCTGCATTGAATATAACCTACCCTATTTGCAGAATATTGACTCTATCCAGCATTCCTTCCACACGTCGCTTGTCATTTCAGTATACCATTGTTTGAAAGGCTGGGAAAAATCTTCTAACGATTGACTTCAAGAAAAAAGACATCGCGCGTGCTATCTTTTGGATTTCTTCCTAAAGAAAAGGGTGCGCATTATACGCCAAATATATATATTAATTCAAAAATAAAATTCAAAATGGTAGTTGCGCGTTATACGCCGGTGCGCATTATACGCCGGTACTTTAATTTGCGTTTTTACTTAATTTTAAAACATATCCCATTGTAAAAATGGAAAGAAATATTAAGTTCGTTTTAATATACTCAGGAATAAACCTGCTCAAATTAATTTATAGATGATAAGAATTGCGAATACCATTAGAAAACGACATTTCTTTGTAAAGAGGAATTTCGAAAATTTCAGCTTCAAATACGAAGGAACATTCCGTTGTTTAATAAGATTGCATTCTCCCAATTTTAAAAGTGAAAATTTGGTAAATGTAATTCATTTATTCCGCTTTCTTTTAATGGATTGCATTAAGTAGTCTTAGTTAGAAACAATTAATGAATATTACGAGTTGGGGAAAATAGACACATTAATGTCTCATCAATTTTTTAAAATATTTCTATTGTATATTTTGGTGTCTAGCCAACACTGCGAACGATTTTATAAGGTATCTAGATTTCGGGCTTTGGGCGTAATTTATGTAAAATACTCTGAAGCACTTCTTGCATTATTGTTTGTCTAAACAATAAACAAAGGAATAAACAAGTGACGAAACAGACAAAAATATCATCCAATGAATGATTTGCTTCTTTTTTAACTGTACTGTCAAAATAGCTGCTATTAATTAATTCCTATTTTCTAACGAGACTTGCTCTTAAAATCAACTTCCTATTCTTACTTGTTTTCCTATTTTCTTCTGAGTCACTCTTTGAATAAAAACATGTGGATGTTTAATCATAGTGAGATCTTATTTGATAAGTACAGAAGCCAATTATCCACCGGTAATCTTTCAATCACACATTTAATTTTTATTCTGCTAAAATTAACCAAACATTTTAATCGGTATGTTAAATTTCTTCAAATGCATCTTTGCAAATCTTCAAATGCATCTTATCAAAACCTGTCACACTTTAAAAGGTTTACATATATCAAATATCGCTTTATCTTTTGCTTTTTAAGATCTTGCTATAACGTAGGCGGCACGCACTCTGCATTAAATTTAAAAACATTGAGCCATGCAAATATTGAAGAACACTAGCTCCCAATAAATACAGTTTTTTATGAATTCCAGTTAATAATTTACCGTATTTAAACAGTTCACTTGATTCATTTTTTTATTTTACCTAATTTCAAGCTGTTCTAGAAGGAGCTTAACATCATCAGTAATATTAAAAGAAAAATGTAATGTAATGGACAATTATTGATTAAGATTTTAAAACAATCAACACTGACGTAACGTCGGTATGTATTTGCATTATGTCAACTTATATATCAAGATTGCAATGTTTCTGCATATTAATTGACTTAATAATGGCCTTCAGTGTCACAGTTAATAAATGAATGTTTGACAAAAAAATCCGTTACCTTAAATCTTTCAAGTTATTAACAGATTTGGATGAATGAACAAGCTTAATAAAATTAAAGCTCTCTAATAAGGAAGAATGCTTTCATGTACGAGTATAACTTCTGTAATGGAAACTGACTTTTAAGAACGGAAAATCATAAACCGTCCATGCAAACATCACTTGTGTGTGTATGTGTATGTTATTATGGCAAAGCCTCGAGGACCGAGGGCTATCTGCCTAAGAGGAGGGATGCCTTCGTGGAGG